CCATAGAGTGTCTCTGGTTCATAGTTGTTTGTTGATTTTGATATTTTCTTTCTTATAGTTATTCATTTTCCTGGTCCCTTATTTAAGTTTTCTAGATTCCTGCTATGAGTGAGACCATCCGGTATTTTTCTTTTTCTTTCTGGCTTATTTCGCTGAGAACGATCCCTTCCAGCGCCATCCATGTTGCTGCAAATTGCATGTGTTGATCTTTTTTGAATGCTGAGTAATATTCCATGGTGTATATGGACCACATCTTCTTGATCCAGTCATCTATTTTTGGGCATTTGGGTTGTAAAACATTAAGCTTTTGACTCATAACTATGCATTTTTGTTTTCCAAAGAAAGACTGAACAGGCTTTACGTAGGCCCAGAGATCTCAAAAGCACAGTGTGACTTTTATTCCCAGGAAGTCAACACTGAAGTCTTGCTTCTCTTCTCACTCATGGACAGATTGGAAGTGCTGAGGAGGAAAATGTGTCATTCCCCCAAATAATCATTAATTTGTCCAGAACCTATCATGTCTACTACACAGCACTCCTTAAGGGAACTCCAAGTCTGCTCTCATTAGACCACATGCCCTGTTCCCCTGGTCTCTTTGCTTGCTTTGTATGGGAAGAAATACAGGCCAGTTTCTTTTGAACAAGTTTTCAACAGAACTATATACACAAATACAAAATCAAAGTAAAGATCTAAATATAGCCCAAAAAGATTTCCCATTCAGTGTTTTAGAACCAGTTTAATAACACCCCTAGGGAGGCACTGTCTATATAGGGATGATGAAACTGTATCTCCTGTGTAAATACTCTGTATCCAAAAGTTAAATTATCCTCACCCTTTTTGATGAAATTCAACTGTGAAAAATGTAATATACTGATATCAAGAAATATTTGGGGCTCTCTGGTGGCGCAAGGGGTTAAGACACTACCTATGAAGCTATCTGCAGCCACTGCAGCATGAGTTCGATCCCCGGCCAGGGAGCTACCCACATGGCACAGCAGACCTCTCCTGTCTCACCTGCTGCTCCCCTCAGCAGTTTATATTTCAGTCAATCTGCCTGTTCTGTTTCCCACTCTGTCTCTAGTGAATCCTCTTTGAATCCTCTTACCCCCCACATCTCTGGCCTGTACCTCAGTTCTTGTATGCATAAATAAATAAATCTTTAAAAAAAAAAGAAAAAGAAAACAAATATTTGGATCCATGAAAGGGAAGGAGAGGGAAGGTGCTCCTGGACCTTGGCAGAGACAATGGCAGGCATTGTCTTGACCTCATGATAGATTATGTGGTATATTTTTAATTTTGAGTCTTTCCTTCTGCCCAGCTCTTTGTGACCTGCCTAACCCCTTTCTTGTTATTCCTTGCCAGAAGTTACCTTAGAGTTGTGCCAAGTTTTCAGACCTCAGCTGCCCTGCTTTGGACCAAGACTGACTGGACATTCGCCCATGAGGGGATGGATAATTGTCAGAGTTTGTTGTTATTTGAAATCCTTTCTTTTCTCTCTCCCTATGCAAATCAATTCTATTAAAAATCTTTCTCCAGGCCTCCCTGGTGGCGCAAGGGGTTAAGCACAGCACCATGAAGCTATCTGCAGCCTCTGCAGCTCACACTAACAAATGTTTCAGTATCATTTTAATGTAAGTGCCCTCATGTCCCCTCGCTGTGGCCACATCTCAATCACTCTAAAACTGTATCCTAACATTGTTTTTCCTTTCTGCTATTTCCAAGGAGTAAGCAGGAAGTGGTCAGTAGCAGAAGAAGAAAAAAAAAAGAAAGGCAGGAAAACAGTTCGGGATTTAGGAAAACTTGACGTCTTGGCCACAATCATCAAAAAGTGCTTTTTAAAAGTAAGGCCCACCATTACCTGTATTTGGCAGTGTTCTAGCCACAGAATATCAAGTTAATACAGATAACATCGCCATGAATAGTTAGAACAAGTTACTAATGAATGATCTTCGAATAGGACACAATCAAAAATTATATTCTAAAAAAAAATTATGTTCTGCTCCCCACTCTGTCTCTGGTGAATCCTCTCACCCACCCCCACACCTCTGGCCTGTACCCCAGTTCCTGTATGAATAAATAAATAACTAAATAAACAGCCCAGTTCTTGTATGCATTGTTCACCGGTCTGGACCACCAGCGCCTCTGAGGGGGCTCGTCACATTCAGGTGCACTTAAATCACTTGTTTAGCTGTGTCCGTCATAGCTAAACTCGGTGCTTGGAGGAGAGCTGGGTTATGGCTGTCGTGAAGCCTGAGATTTACCTAGAACCATAGGCACCACACATCACACATCCCTGGCTGGGTGACTTGGTCTCAAAGCAAAGGCGCTGAGAAACCAGGGGTGGAACTAAACTGTGCGCTGCGGAGAGTAGACAGTAGGTCTCCTGCATCTTTGCAACCATGGCCCCAGCACGGGGCCTACCACTGTGGATAGATGAACTCAAGCGCTAGGAAAAGCTGCACCATCCGGAGACTAACTTTCCTTGAGGTTGAAAGACAAATCAGCACACACAACAGTATTAACTATTTCCTAAGACCTGAAGTTGACTTTATCCGCCACTAGGAATAGCCCAGGGAGACAGGCGCGTGAAGACTCCTCAGCAGGCACCCTTCTCCTCCTTTGAGCTGCCTTTATTCCCAAGAGCACAGAGCTTTGATTTCACCTCTAGTGTTGCCACTCTCAACCAGACAACTTTTCATCCTACTCTGGGATGTTCAAAACATGCTTTAAGTCAATTTTCTTACGACCCAATTTGCAGGAGGTGACCAAATCCAGCAAACCTGTGCGTTTTTTTGTTCATTTGTTTTTAAAGATTTATTTATTTGATTTATTTATGCATACAAGAACTGGGGTACAGGCCAGAGGCGCGGGAGGGTGAGAGGATTCACCAGAGACAGAACGGGGAGCAGAACAGGCAGATTGACTGAAATCCACTGCTGAGGGGAGCAGCAGCGGAGACTGGCGAGGTCTGCTGAGCCATGTGGGTAGCTCCCTGGCCAGCCAGGGATCAAACTTGTGCTGCAGAGGCTACGATAGCTTCACAGTGCTGAGCTCAACCCCTTGCGCCACAAGGGAGGCCCCAAACCTGTGTTTTAATCCTAGAGAAACTCTCTGGCCCTCATCTATAAAATGGAGATATTTCCTATGTCAAGATACATGGACTATTTAACATCAGGCCCGGCATAATGCTTACCAAATAGCAGCTAGTACTATTATTATTAGAGACCACAAGGGATTTCAGCAGGGTAGATTCATGGAGGAAAATAGCAGCTCAGGGAGCTTCTTTTTAAAAATAGCTAAGTCATGTCCTAATTTTTGATCTAGGCAAATTAATTAATCATGATAAGATGGTGACAAGTGTAGTGATCTATGAGAGAGAATCCTATTTAGCTAGGATGACTAATTATTTAGGTTAAAAATCAAAATTGTACCAGAAAAAGTTCATAGAAAAAAAATGAAGAGCCCAAGTCATATTAACACAGATCTCTCTCTCTTTCACACACACACACACACACACACACGCAGAGCTTCCAGCATCCTTGAAGTCGATGAAATTGTGACCCTAATACGTTAAGAAAAATGCCCTAAACCAGCCAAGAGTGAAAATAAACATGAATGAGCAATAAATTAGGATCTCCTTCACTCTCCTTCTACCTCCCACATGCTCGGGGTTTGCACGGGAAAAATACAGTCCATATGGAGGCTTTGGCATAATCACGACCCACTGCCCGCCTTCTCCACACACGCCCTCCCCCAGGTGACTCCAGGCCCAGGCATCCGGGGCACTGTACAAACATTAGCTGATGCAGATGGAATGAGCAGATGTCTGGAGCCCTGAGTCCAGGCTATGAGGGACAGACAGCAAGAGTGAGTAGGCGGCACCCCATTTTCCTGCCCATTCCCCTGCGTGCTCATGGGGGAGGAAGTGTTCTTTCCAAGGCTTGTGATGGCTCCTGGTTCCTCTCCCGCTCCTGGACTCTCAGGCCTGCACAAAGCATCCGAGTCAAGCAGCTGTGGGTCGCCCTCACCCTCTCTGTCCATGCCACAGATGAGAACACTAGGCCCTTGCAACTGTACTGGGTTTGACCAACCTCCTATACCAACACATTCTGAAACCGAAAATAGATTCCAGGTGCCCTCCCTTCCAGAACAGTCCTTTTTCTTATTCTCCTGATGCTATAACATGACCAAATACCATGCATCCACCTTCTCATTAAGCTCTTTCTATGTGCCAGTCACTCTGGCAGGCGTTTCCAACAGTAAGATTCTTGGGTGGCGAATATTCAAGACCTGTCTGCATGTGCAATAAAAAAGAACAGTCACTCTGGGAGCTTCTTGTCCCTCAACATCTGGCATTTAGTAGACACCTACTATGTGCTAGGTTTAGTACTGGGTGCCAGAAAAGCAGGAAATGGATAAGACACTGTCCCTCCCCTCTTGGGATACTCTGGATTGAAGTCAGATTCCACTAAAATGGACAAACAGAGGAGATTCAGACCATGAGTTAACACGAAGTAAACGCAGATAACAAATAGACAAGATTAAATATTTAGATTATGTATTGGCCGGGGTTAAGTGGATTAATGGAGTGATGAGTTGGGCAGAGTTATGGGATTTCCATGTTTAGACAGGGCGGATTAGGTTGTCTGGTATATGGAAATGCAAATCGAAACTGCTCTAATCAGCATTAACACCCTGTATTCATCTCAAGAGCTGCCTTTCTGTCAAAGGTGCAGGACAGACCGTGTCTCACCAACTTTACAACATCCTGGTGAGTCAGAGACCCAGCACTGACATTCCCAGACTCCTGGTGAGGAAACAGATCCAGGGGAGAGACTGGGAGTCAAGAGCCACTAAAATCTCCTCCTGGCCCCTCCTACTCTATGGTCCAAATGCCTCCAGAGAGCGCTTGGGCGATGCAGACAGGCACCAACATGATGACCCCTTGGAGCGAAGCCCCTTTGATCTTTTACCTCAGAGGAGAATAAAATGCAAGTTACCTTGTAATTATTTCCAAGTACTTCAAATATATGCTTTGGGTTCTCCATAGAGCGTAAGTTTCTTAAGGGCAGGGAACTGCCTTGAATGCCCCCCTTGCTTGCAGTGGCGCCACCCCAGCGCTGGAGATGCAGCAGCTGTTTTAGTCTTCCTTGGAGAAGAAATCACAGAGGGAAGCTGGGGGGTGCTGCCAACCACTTCACACCCTACACAATTCCTGCGTCCGTGAAGTGGGCTCCGGAAACAAGTCTCTACCAGGTCAGTGATTCATTGAGACTCCCCTGAAATCGCTTCCTTGACTCCACTGTCAACAGAAACAAAAACAAGTTATTCATGAAGAACTGTGAGAAGTGCCTGGAGATCTTGCTGCTTTGTTTTTCTGGAGAGAGGAATTCCATGATGGTATTGTCAGGTGCATCCCACGGATACTGCTTGTCAAAGAGCAGTGAAGCCACAGAAACACGGAGTTCTGGCTGCAAACTCATGCCTGCTCTTCTGATAACTTTTCTCCCAAACCTGGCACTTGCTACCCAGATAAATTGGGAAGGAGAGTCTCTAAAACGATGAGCATGTTGCTTCCCACAGCATCACCCCCATTAGGTGACAGCTTGTCTCTCCTCCAGGCCTCTCTGTTGGGTGGGTGCTAATTTGCAAAGCAGTTGGGAGAGAGAAAATAGGAATGCTGTGGAGTGCAGGAAAGTAGTAGAAATTTCTGGGCCTGACTCTGAGCCTGAGTCTAGGCCCTGCCGCTGCATTTGAGCAATGTGACAACCTTCTAAGAAAACTTTTTGTTTTGTCTTATTAATTTTTCAAATATTTTACATCATTTTTCTTGCTTGTACAATGTATGCATTTCGTCTTTGTGATAGTCCCCATAAAATTCCCACCACCCTTGTTTTGATCCTATTCCCTTCTCCCCGCCTGTAGTGTGTCTCTGGTTTATCGTTGCCTGTTGATTTTGATTTTTACTTTATCATAATTAGCCTTTTTCCTGATCCCTTATTTAGGTTTTCTAGATTCCTGCTATGAGTGAGACCATCTGGTATTTTTCTTTTTCTTTCTGGCTTATATCACTGAGCATGATCCCTTCCAGCTCCATCCATGATGCTGTAAATGGCATGAGTTTATCTTTTTTGAATGCTGAGTAATATTCCATGGTGTATATGTACCACATCTTCTTGATCCAGTCATCTATTTTTGGGCACTTGGGTTGTTTCCATAGTTTACCTGTTGTAAATAGTGCTGCAGTAAACGTAGGGGTGCAGGTGTCCTTTTGAATTAATGTTTTTGTGTCCTTTGGGTAGATTCCTAGGAGTTGAATTTCTGGATCGTATGGAGGCTCCAATTTTAGCAGACCGAGGAGCCTCCACACAGCTTTCCATCGTGGTTGGACCAGTTTGTACTCCCACCAGCAGTGTAGGAGTGTTTAAGGAAGCTTTTGATTAACTCAACCGCAATATGAAATAAGGCACCTTCGAAACCAGGCATTAACCTCTCTTCTCAAAAACAAGGAAACTGTGCTAGTCAACCTGAGGCCCACTCCAGCTCCGAGCTTCTGACTGCAATTTATCTGACTCTCTCCCGCCATAAACTCTATCTAGTGAGATAAAGGGAGGAACCTCACCTCTTCTTGCTGGGAACACCTCTCCTGTTCCAGTCATACCATGCCTGACATTGCGACAAATGCAGCAAGTGGTTGCCAGGTGTGGGCAAATAGGCTTGTGAACTTTCACGCCCTCTGCCCATTGGTTTCGTTGGGTGTGTCCCTCTCATTATTTCATTGCCCGTGTGAGTGCCCTTCATCAGCACCCTGCACAGAATAGCCCTCGATTCCTTACTCTGGACCATCTGTCTCATCTACCCCTTCTTCCTTCTCAGGCCTGTGCACCTACCATTGTCCCCAGGGTGCATCCTTGGACTTCCAACCCTCACTGCTCCTGCACTGATATTTCCTGAGCGCTCACTTGCCTTTGGTTCATCCTCACCTAGGTCTTCAAAGTAAATACGTCCCTGACGGCTGTCCCCCTGTTTGTTTGTTCAATAAATCTGAACATAACAATGTTCGAAGGGAGTCTCAATCCCTGAAAGACTGAGGTGTACACTGCTGTCTTGGTGTGTCTCCAAGAAACTGTGAGTTCACAATGGCTTTGACCTTCTTCGGCAGTATGAGGGCATTATTTAAAGGTTAGAGGTTGGGAAGTCCCTCAACAGTTAAAATATTCCTTGAAAATACTAACTGGCAGACTGAATTCATTATTGTGGATTCTTTTTTTTTTTTTCCTTTCAAGGCAGAAAAAAAAAAACAAAACATTTTTCAATACTCGGGTTATGTGCTTTAAACATTGTCCTGACATCTGTTCTTTAAAAGCACAATAGAAGGCATGCTTTCAACTACAAACACAGATAAAATATGGCAACACAGCTCTGTATTTCTGGGCTTGGGACATGCTAAGTAATAGGGATTTGCATGACTAAGCTTCTACTATGCTGACATATGCAAAATCCAGGAGCAATCGAATCACTCTTCTTGGTTTGACAATGTTTAAATGAGAAACAGCCTTCACCCTGGGTCTAAAGACTCATGAGCTCATAGAAGAACCTGATTGCACCCAATTTAACAACGATTTAAAAACAGATCTATCTAAATATTAGGTCTCCTTAACTAATAGTGATTTAGGCAGTGATTCTAATTACAGGAAGAAAAGGTCAGTAGAGATTAGAACAGGGCGATCCCAGCACAACTCACCTGAGATTTGGATCAAGCTGATTTTTCAAGCTCTTCCCTTCACTTGCCCAAAAAAAGAGAATAAAACCTTGAACCTAATATTTATCCTGAAACGTATTTCATGCTAACTCTTTTTCGAGACGTGTTTCCTTCCCCTTTAAGATTAGCTACCTCGTCACAATGAATGAATTCTCAAAAGCTTAGGCAGTTAAACATTAGAGTGACAGCATCTGTTTTGTTATCTTCAGTTACAATAAAACGGGATTAGGTGTTCTGATCAAATTATTTTTCTCAAAACATCAATTACCTACCCCAAAAACAGACTCAGATTTTGAATTCCCTGGATCAGTCTTACTACAAATTTTCTGTTGCCATTTCACAGTGACTGGAAATTCTCAGCTGTCCTGCAGAGGACAGGGCATCCAAATGTCACTTAAAACTGTGTGTTAGATAGCATTTGATATTGATTTGGGAAATATAGTCATTGCTCTGGCCTTGAGAAAGAGTTTTAGTGGCCTGTACACAACTGGCTTATTTTCTAGGACAAAAACACAGTCAGGCTCACCTACTCCCCACCTCGTAGCCCTCCACTCCCCAACCCCAGCCCCTCCACCCCCACACCTCGCTGGTCTAGCCTGAGCCGGGATGAGGACTCACTCTGGCTAGTTTTCCTCCATGTTGTGGATTAGTTGCTGGTCTCCACTGGTCTTGCTAGAACCGGCGTGCTTCCTCCTAAAAGGAGCCATTGACCAACTACACTCAAGAAGCATTTCCCAGGGCCTCCCTGGTGGCTCAAGGGGCTAAGCACAGCACTGTGAAGCTATCCACAGCCTCTGCAGTATGAATTCGAGCCCCGGCCAGCCAGGGAGCTACCCACATGGCGCAGCAGACCTCTCCTGTCTCACCCGCTACTCCCCTCAGTATTTCAGTCTGCCTGTTCTGCTCCCCACTACTTCTGGCCTGTACCCCACTTGTTGTATGCATAAATAAATCTTTAAAAAAAAAAAAAAAAAAGGAAGCATTTCCCAGAACCTGGAGAAAAGACACGTGGCTTGCAGGTGCCTGGGGAAGTTGTCTGTAGAACCTCGCCTGAGCACCCCCTCCTTTCAAAGGAACAGGAGTAGTGACAGGGAAGGAGATCATTGGTCCCAAGAGTCTAAAGGATGGCAGTTCTTGAGGGTGGGAAATATTTGTTAGTATCAGAGAGGGGCAGGCACCTGCCCACCAAGGTTGTCACAGTGGCAGAAAGTCACAAGACCTGAAGGGCTGTGGGCCCGCTTAGATTTTCAGGGCAGCCCAGACCTCCCAGTAGGGTGTCCCAAGCTATAACATGCTTCTGACCCCCCTGCACCACTTGTTAAGAAGCAAATTCTGATTCAGTAGCTCTGGGATGGGACCCAATATTCCAGGTTACTAACAAGCTTTGCGAAGTGTCTGTCTCTTCAGGCTGCTATTCCAGAGCGCCATAGATAGGGGGCTTATTAAAACTGACATTGTTTCTCACAGTTCTAGAGCCTGGGACTTTTTTTTTTTTAAAGATTTATTTATTTATTTATTTATACAAGCACTGGGGACAGTCAGAAGTGCGGGAGGGTGAGAGGATTTATCAGAGCCAGAGCGGGGAACAGAACAGGCAGACTGACGAAATACACTGCTGAGGGAAGCAGCGGGCGTGGCAGGAAAGACTGTCGCACCATGTGGGCCCCTTGCCCAGCGGCCAGGGATTGAACCGGTGCTGCAGAGGCTGCAGGCAGCTTCGCAGGCCAGCACTCAACCGCTGAGCCTGGGACTTTCGAGATTAAGGCAGAAGAAGACTCAGTGTCCAGTGGGGTCTCACTTTGCAGTTCCCTTCATTGTGCCTCAGGTGCCAGAAGGGGTGAGACAGCTCTCTGGAGTGTCTCTGGGGCACTCATCTGGTTCATGAGGACTCCACCCTAAGTCACCTCCCAAGGGCCTCATCTCCTGATAACATCACCTCAGGGATTAGGATGCAGTATATGAATTTCAGGCTGGGGGTAGAGACATTTAGTTCATTACGGGGAGAGAAGTCTTACGAAACCCAGGGATTGGAGACACCCCCCTGGGAGAATGAGAATGGTCAGATTACCAGCTCTGGGAAGAACCTCCCAAGGAGCCAAATTTAATTTTATTTAGAAAAATTAAATAAGTGAGATTTCCTGCATCCATGTGTTGTGGAGTAAATTCAAACTCGCTTCTTGTGATACATGCTTGCCCACCAGTAATTTAAAGCTTTAAAACAGCTGTTACCCATCAAAATAGATTCGTCAGCAAGGCCCGGCCTCTGAGTGAGTCCCCACAGCGCCTCCTTGGCATCATGCATCACCCGCTGTCTGCATTTCACAGATCCGGCCCCCTCACCTCACATCATCCCAACCCAAAGATCATAACAAATGGTTCTTTAGTTTTTGCAGTGCTTTTATGTTTTTAATGGATGACCGTGTTTTTAAATCCTTTTTGAACCGTTTCATCGTTGGCCCACTTCAAAGTTTAAATCGACATAAATAATCTGGTACTGTAGCCCGGGGTTCTGAGTACCAACTGGATACCAGGCACGGTGCTAGGCTCTGCACACATATATCATATCAACCATGCCCCAGGAGAGGTAAATCTTATGCTTTTCTACCTGGGGAAATCAATTCTCAGGGAGTTTAAATAACTCGCTGAAGTGCATTTGCTACTAAGTGGTTGAACTGAAAATTTAAAACTCAGGTCTATGCTCACCATAGCTGGTTTTATACATTTGTTGATTTGTCACTACCAGACCGCACTCTCGAGCCTTCCCTAGTCCACAAATAACCTTAAGGATCATCCACTTCCAGGGTCCACTTCCCAGCAAGGCATCATATTTTTTTTTCCAAATAAAATAGAATATTTCGTGCCTGGGCTTCATTCATCCTTATTTTAACATCCGTTTGGAGCCTCCTAGAAAAGGGAAGAAGACTTCAGAATGTGCCTCGTCTTGGACTGATCTTAATTTTCAAGATTTCCAATGATAGTTTCCCAAGCATTTTAATGCTTCTGGAAACGCTTCTCTAACAATGAACTCTCTATTCCGAGAGGGTTGTACATAGCTCCCTTAGGATTTAAAAACACTGAGGACACTATCAAATCTTACTTTTTCCTAGAGGGATAAAATCTCTGTTGGGTTCAAAATGTCACATCCCTCTCATTAAGAAACTTTTCCAGGAATTCCCTGAGAATTTCCCTCATTCTTGAGATGGAGGACTTCATTAGTACTAACTCTAGTACAGGGATTTGAATTGCCCCTAAAATCATTAGTTTGGGGATGTAAGTCTTTCAAGACAAACTGGAATGTTCCTGGCATAGACAAATACTGCTCCAGGGAGACCTGTATTCAAATTTGACCCTGCAACTTCTGAGCTGGGAAACCTTGGACAAACAACTCTAACTTATCTGGATCTCAACTTTCTTAACTGTGTATTAAAATATTAGTAATGGGAACCGATCATAAGGCTGTTTTAGGATTAAATGAGAAATCCAATTGAAAAATTCCCAGCCCAGAGTTGCTGTTTCATGAATAAATGGGAAGCTTCTCACAAGGTAAAGGATTTCAGTTTTTATTCCTTTCACATTCTGTTTTATTTCTCCTGCAAGGAGTAGTGGGTAGGGAGAATCCCAAACACTTTCATATTTCTCTTCCCATCAAATAGCACTTTCTGGCAAACTTCCAGGTCCTTTCCATCTTAGTCAGGCTGAAAGTCAAACAATAATACTTTTTTAAAAAAGAGTTATTTATTTATGCATACAAGAACTGGGGTACAGGCAGAGGTATGGGGGTGGATGAGAGAATTCACCAGAAATAGAGTGGGGAGCAGACAGGCAGATTGACCAAAGTACACTGCAGAGGGGAGCAGCAGGTGAGTCAGGAGAGGTCTGCTGTGCCATGTGGGTAGCTCCCTGGCTGGGGATCGAATTCGTGCTGCAGTGGCTGTGGATAGCTTCATAGATTGCGTCTTAACCCCTTCTGCCACCAGGGAGGCCCCCAAACAATAATAATTTAAAGGAGCAATCATATTTCATCTAGGTGCCAGTAATTCTTCTAAGATTGGAAGCTGGGCCAAGTATGGCCTGAGCTAACAAGTTGTCATTCTTCTGAGATGCCGCGTTGGGCCACAACTCGATACCACCAGGTCTTATCTGGATGACCTGTTGCAGCACTTCCAATACCACTCAGAAGGTGCACATATAGACTGTGCTCGCCCACAGCTCTGTAAACCATCTCTCCACATTTCTGTGACACCTCATCAGTCCCCTATATTGAACTCGCTTCCTACGATTATTCAAATCCTACATATAACCCATATCCTGCTT